AGTCGTATTCACTTTTTCTACTATATTAATTATGCTTACTAATGTTGGAGTTGAATTTTAGTTGCTCACTCCAACTTGGGGATTCATTACTTGCTCCCTTCATACCCTTGATTACAATCTGTATACATCACAAATTTGTTCCCGTTGTCTTTTTAAATAAACTCTCATTTCATTGAATGTTATTTTTCTCCCACTTTGTTGCTCTTACGTTCCTTAGCTTCCAAATGCCACCATCTTCTCACTCCCCTATTTTCTTATTCCTCGACTCTTAAATGCCATCCTACTCTTGCTCTCCTACTTTCGTATTCTTTTGCTTCTAAATGTCACCTTACTCCAACTTTTATGCTCCCTTATTCATCAACTTTGGCTTGGGCAAATGCCACCTTATATTGAAATAGAAATAAACTTACTCATTTCCCTTCTCTCCTTGCCTTGCAATTGGTGTGCAAACATGATCATTAAATTCCATCTATTTATTGATTCAATAGTCCTCAAAAAAATAATTCCACTCTAAAATTTGAAAATATTCCATCCTTTAGCTTAACTCTATTCTCCATTCCAAAAAAAATTCTCATTAAATACACATATTCAAATACCATGTGTAAATCTTTTTACAAATGATCTTTTTAAAGAAAAAAAAAAATCATTAGAAGGCTTATAAGATGTATCTTTGAAATTTTGAAAGCTGCAACTACAAAATCCACCACAACTCTAAAAAAAATAATAAAATGCAAAAAAAGTAGATGCACATCCATATTCAAAAATTTAGTTCATATTCACCTAAATTAATGATGTCCTTTGCCTTGCAATTGAGCTATAGAGATACATTCTTTTGATTACCAAATGCCATTCTAAATATTTACAAATTAAGCTTATAATTACTAAAATTGGCCACCACCCTTATCTTACAATTAAGCTATGAAAGTGCATTTCCTTGATTACTGAATGCCACTTTGAATGCTTACAAATTTGACTCATAATTACCAAAATCAGTTGTGCCTCTTGCTTTGCAATTGAATTTAGGAAGAAGAAAGAAAAGAGTGGAGAAAGAGGGAGGGGGGGAAGGGATATAGTCCTTTCATCACCAAATACCACTTAAATGCTTACAAATTTAGCTCACAATTATGAAAATTGGCTGCATTCTTTGTCTTACAATCAAATAGTATTACTACAAATGTGAAGAAGTTGAGAGTGGATAATATTTTATTTCCAACTACAACTTTGTAGATTTTTTCTATATTGCTCATAGAATTCTAAAAATTATAAGTACACATTCCAACCATAACATGGAAAAAAAAAAAAAAAAAAAAAAAAAAAAACAGTTATTAATGTATAATGAGATGCCTCATATATAGAATTTTACTAATGATTAATTAAATCTTTAGAGTTCATAGATACCCATTTTGAATATAATAAGTTTTATATATTTCTCATAATTAATCATTATTTTAACTAGCTTCCATCCTATTTCCAACCATTGGATATCAAAACTAATCAAAATATAGTAGACAAAACAAATTATTGAAAGTATAATAGTTTGTTGTATTAAAATCCAAAAATTATATTTTTTTTCTTTTTTTCTTTTTTTTAAAAAATCTAATAAAACTATTTAAATGATTTTTTTCCATAATAAATATTAATTATATATTTTTCTTTTTTTCTTTTTTTCTTTTATATTCTAAAATTATTCAAAATTATATTTTTAAATATTAAAATAATCAATAGAATAGAGGTTTTACAAAAAATTATAGGTTCTTTTTAATAAAAATAATTACTTATATATATATTTATATTTTATCTTAATATGTAAATAAGATATGAGATTATTTACATCACTTATTCAAATTATATTTGTGTAATAAGATAAATAGGCAATGATATGATATTTATTTTATTAAAATTAGTAATAAATTAAAATAAATTTAGAATAAATTAATATCTTCTAAATTATATAATATTTTTTAATTTATATTAATTATTTCAATTTTAAAAAGGTTAAGTTTTTTAAAAATAATAAGAATTGGATTATTACAATTAATAAGATAAAAATAAATTTAAAAAATATTTATTATTTTTTTCAAAGTAAAATATACAAATTTATACAAATTTTCATAACATGAAGTTTATACCTAAAATTTTTATTAAAAGTTTTTTCTCTTTTTTTAAAGTGACTTAACTAAAATTATATCATTTATCTTATTCAATAAAATATAAATATTACATTATGTTATTTTTTATAATTCTTTTTATTGACTTTTAATTCTTATTTGTTACATACAATTTTTTTTAATTTATTGAATCTTACATCCAATTATATATCTTATGATCTATCTACTATTTTATTTAAAATAACTTGCATAAAATCTTTAGCTATTAATTCTAAAAAATATAATGCTTAAAAAATGATAGAGTTATTAAATTTTACATTGTCATATAATATGATTTGCAATCTGGAAATACACTAGAAATCTAGTTGTAGAGACTTTAGTATTAATTTATTGGCTAAGCTCTAATTAGCAATTTATTCCATCTTTAACTTATATGCAAAGTCTTGGCTCTCAAAACCTCTTCATTTTATATAAAATTGCCAAATTACATCAAAACACCTTAAGACATATTTTTCTCGCAATGGATTTCTTCTTCTTGAACTTTAGAAATTTATATCTCTTGATTCAACCATTTAATTTCTCTCAAATTCTTATCTAATGTAGCTATTATCCTAAAGCTTTACTAAAAAAAAATAATATATAAAATTACTGCCAATCTTCTAGCATCTTAGAAATTCTAGCAGGTGCTCAAAATCCTAACTTATAAGCACCTTCGCACTATTTTCTTCATATCTCAAAAATCCAAAACTCAAATACCACAAAATTTGTACATAAAGTTTATTAACATGATTACACACATTCTAAAAACTTTTGAGCCAAAAACTTATCAAATTTCTCAAGATATACCTCAAAATACAACCACTAGTAATTTGAACCACTTACTACCTTTAGATTGCAAGTGCTGATTTCAACCTCCAATATCTCCTTCATCTTAATTTGGAACTCATTAAACAGTATGCTAAAAGTGTAGCCAAAAAAGTGTTCTTTTCAATCCCAGTCTTCGATCCTTTATTGCTTTATGTACACGTGCGTTATGTCTAAAAGAATGAAAATAGGTATAAAATCAACACCTTAATTTTGAGCATCTATATCTCTTTCATATAAACTCTAAATCACACAAAATTTATACCAAAATCATAATCAAAAACCTAAACTTATTGATTCTAGCCTACAAAGCTCAAATAACCTCAAAAGAGTAACCCCAATCCCAAATAAGGCTTCAAACAGCCTCCTCAAAGCCCATTGGCTATGATTTTTGGCCAATAGGAATGGAGATTTTTATCATCCATCTCTATTCATCCATATGGATGCCCTAGCTTCTCTTTTTGCTACCAAGATCCCTCTCCAACATTTTTTCTAATAAGATTTATATAATATATGTCCTAAATATTAAATAAAAGAAGCAAAATAAGACTTCAAGGATCACCAATGTCTAACAAAGGTGGCTCTATATATATAAAAACTATTATCAATATAAAATCAACCTTAATAATATCTCTTTTAAACTAACCACTTTAAAATACTAATTTAATCATATTTTGTGATTAACTAAAATATAATAATGTGGCTCTTATTACATTGTATAGTAGATTGTACATTAAATATTTATACATATTATTTTCACATAATAGCCAAACCACAACACAACAACATATTTAATTTAATTAAAAAAATTTAATAATAATTTGTACTCAAAAAAAGACTTGGATTACTCAAATAAAAATTTAGAATAAAAAAATAAAATAAAAAATATTAAAAAAATAATAGAATAAAAAAATTAATTATTAAATCAAAATAATATTATCAAATTAATTACAAGAAAATAGTCTACCGAAAGAAAATATATAGTACTGAAAATTAAAAAGAAAATTTGTTAATAAATAGATTTTGTGTATTGCATAGTTTCTCTTCTTATAGTTTTACTTACTTGTTGAACCAAATCAAAACTATTTAGTTATACCTTATTGTCTCATTCAAGATTTATTTTAATATATATACATATGATTACAAATAAATCTCCTAACAAAAGGAAAAATTTCATAAAAAGAAAGATTGCCAATTAAAGCCCAGTACTGAATTAATTTAATAATAAAGAAGTCAAAGAACTATATAAAAAATATAAAAAAATAATGAGTTCCTGAGTTACATTGATTGGGAAGTGTAAGTTGAGAAAGTTTTTATTTATTTAGTTCCCAAAATTTTCACTCATTTGGTAAAAAAAAATTGAATTTTGAATTTTTAAAATAAAACGTATTATTTGATTTGAGGTATCTCCTTATAGGATAAAAACTTTAAAATAGTAAAAATGTTATTACTCTTTATTTAAAAGCCAGATTTGAATATTATTTTTATTTTTTCTCAATTTTGGATTTATCAATTTTAATTTTGAAATACTTGTTATTTTAATTTTAATTTTAGATATAGATATTTTCAATACAAATAATCATTTCAATTTATGAGATTAAATAAACTTACATTATCAATCACATTTTAAGTTTGTTAAAGATTCCTAATATATTTTTAAAGTCAAAATTTAAAATTTTTATTTTAATATTGATTGACCAAGTCTAAACATAATACATAACTAAATTAATCATTTTACTTTAAACATTATACTTTTTAGGATTATTTATTTGTAGCAAGTTATTTATAATCATTTATTTTTATCTAATTTTATTCTATTATAAAACAAACAAAATGATAAATAAAAAGAAGAAATTTATTTGGTACATACATGAATTTGAAAATGATTGCACTTTAGATTTATCTAGATTTAAGTAAAATATCAATCACTGTTTAATCTAAATCCTTTTAGGTTTATATTTATAAGTATACTCAATTCGAATACGGATACAAAGAAAGAAAGAAAACGGGGGGTGGTGATCCATTTAAGCTTGTGATTCATGTAGCAATACATAGTGATTGAACAAATAAAAAGCAACTTTACAGCGTTGATCTCGCCACCATTCATCAAACTTGTGAAACTAGCTGATTCGCAACGCAAGGATGCATTTGCATCAAATCAAATGCTTAGAGGTTGCGGCGCACTTAGTTAATAGCTCTTTTGGAATGACGGAGCCCAAGTAGATGATCCATCAACTGCTCTTACAATTTTTAAATGGTCTCCGACTCCCGAGATACGACTGACGGGTATCGCACCTAACTATCTCTTCACTACTCTATTTTATCGTCTCGATGCAATTTGTTATACAAAATATGTTATAAATTGGCCTCATGTTCAAATCGAACGTTTATTGCTATGCTAGTCTATCATGGACGTTGCAAAGTAGCAGTAGGTGGAAGCTATGCAGCCTCTAGCTCTAATGCCATTTTTTACTGCTTTTTAAAATTCGAGGATACTTGCAAGTTGCCGATCATGGCGCTCACATCAGCCGGCGCCTTGTGTGGCACAGCGATGTCAACTACCGTCGATGGAATGGCTATGAAGTTGGAACTCTTTGGGAAAATCCATACAAATTGCTCAAGGGCAACCTGTCTCAGAACCTCGAGATAGATGAGTGTGGCCATTGGAGTGACTTTTACCGATGTGGCTGCGACGTTGTCGCAAAGGAGATTGGAACGTTGGCTCGCTGTATATTGTCAAATTTTCTGCAGCACGACGACATGTGAACGACTATTTAGTGAGTTGGCATTGATCCAGACCGTCAAGCGAAAACTGCTGTACTCGACGAAAGCCAGGAAACGTGTGGTCGTCTGTTGAAAAGTTCAATTCAAAGACGGGTTAGAGGCCAAGGTCAAGGAAGCAATCCTTGAATGTACAACAAGTTTTGCTACTGCACGAGCTTGAGATAACATCAAGAGTTGCACTATATCGCTAGATGAGAGTCCGCGAGTTCATGAGAATTCTCAGCTTCAGCAAGACTATTCGAAGGAAGATGAAAGCAATTTTGATGAACTGAACTATGCGATTGAGGAAGAAGAGGAAAGTGATGGCGAGGGTGTCGTTGAAGACATACTGGATACATGATTTGGTATTATGGACAGCGACGTGCGTCAGGAAGTGCACAACGACAATGAATGGGTGATTGACGAGGTCGAAGATGCCGGGGATGTTGAATAGAGTCGCAATACACTGCTTGATGCGCATCATGCGAATGCCCGATCCCCTTCTGTAATGACGAGAACTTCCCGCAAGAGAAGAAGCTGTTTGATTTGCGAGGTTGTAAGGTCTTCCAAAAGGACTAGTTGATCACACCTAATTCACAGTGAGGTTTATGACAACTGCTTCGGCGTCAAACGCGACTATTAGTGATAAAAACGAACAAACGTGACCGCATAAACACGTAGTGATTCTAGACCAAATTGTTTGTTCCAGCTGTGAAGTCCATGTGTAGAAAGTACCTAAAAGATATTTAGTCATTCATCTTTAAACTACACGACTTGCATCAGGCCTGCTGGTTGCAGTGAGAGGTCTCTAGGTCAGAGAGCGAAGGAAGGCACATATGTTGTTGCAAAATGCGTGTACACATCTCCAACTGATGATTGTTGTGGTTTGTAACCTAAAGGAGATCGAGGTTGAGGGCAAACCTCAAAGGTTGAGCAGCGTACTTCTGATATAGTATTCGGATATCTACATTGTTAGTCACTTATTTATTTCTTCGCAAGGACTCGTGTTAAGCATTCAAATTCGTGCCAGCAGGTTTTTGCAGAAATGAGCTTAAGTGGTATGGCATTCTCAAAGGATGAGTCGGTCACTCGTAACACTTGATTTATCACGCACATATTTCCTTCCTGTGTGCTAGAGTAATGAGCGTTAGGTGCTGCCAACCATTCTGCTCAATTGGATACGTTCTAGAAAATAATCGATCTCGGGTTGCGTAGAGCTTGAGAAAAGTTTTCACTCCTCGTGCCTAAATTTTCTCTCGTCTCCTTTATCATCGAATTACAGTGTCTCTTAAAGGAGACGAAAAGGAAAATCTTGTTCCACCACGCATTCAGGTCAGATATGAACGTTTACGAAAATAGCCATTGCCAATCTATCCCCGCTTTTTCTGAATTGCACACTATCAGGAATCCAGAAACAGTACACCGCTAAACGAGCTTTCATACAACCAAGCATGGAATGAAATTATGTTTTTCACCGCTCGATTTGCCGACAATATGCAACTCGGATATTAATAGAGCGTTGAGACGATCCTTTCTGCGGCAGCCTTGAGCAAAGTGCCTCTCTGCTGTAAACTATTTCCTAATGAAGATTCTTAAGCGTCAACCTACGAAAAGCATTACCATCGCCATTGATTGTGATCTGCAAACGATTAAAACCTTTTAAAACGAACACGGTGGTCATTCCCATTTCTTGCTCTCAGAATAATCAAGCGGAGAAAATGAACTCTGGCACTATTGGCGTGAAACTAGAGTAATCAGGCCATGAGGTTCTGGAAATGGCACCTAATTCTAGGCTTGCAGAAATTTTGCAACAACGGCGGTAATTCCTTGACTGAAAATCTGCTCGAGCTAATTTTTTCGCCAATATATTTCGCTATAAGACTTGCTACAGGTATGCTATCCAGAATATCTCTGCACTCCGGCACAGCATTCTTCATTATCAAACATACTACCTGTAAAGGCAAACCCTCCAATAACACACACATTGACAGTTCCAAATAGTCTGGGGCAAGACAACTTGGGAACAAATTCTGTAGTACTCAGTTCCATGTTATTTCCTTATCAAGAGAACGTATGGATTCAAACACCGAAGCTGTAGAATTCTTCATGGGTTCTCAGGTTGAGAAACCAGGTCTCAAATGGAATCGGAGTAGTTTGAAACCTCGAGATTAGGGCATCAAACAGGATTTTGTGAAAGATTCATGATGAATGCTGCCGCCCATTGCGTATCTTTACGGGGTCAAGGTGATCGTGGGAACTGAACTACATGGATTCACATCTCTGAGCAGCAATAGTAATTCCTTCGTCAACTAGTTGTCACCTACATGAGCTTCCTGCGTTCCTATTCCAACGGAGGCTACAAATACTAGATACGAAAAGAAGGGTGCATAATTCATGAGACCATGGTTTATAGGAAGCACAATCTCCAAACACCATAGCTGTCTGTCTTGCAAGTCAGTATGGAATATGGTAAGTGAGAACGCAGAGGAAGGAAGTCCACACGTCGTTAGTTTGACAACAGATTGGTCTTATGCAACTGACAAATATGGTGGTATTTTGAATTTCCTTATCAATTTGAGGAAGGGGAAAAAAAAGTGAGCACATACATATGTATATTTTTGGGCCTTGCAAACACAAGTCGGAGACATACAAGGAGTAAATTGCACATTCGTATAACGAACATGCAGAAGTGGCATTTCTGAAGAATTGGAATGTTTGAAATTTCCATTCATGTACAGCATTGAAATGAGATTTCAAAGGGGCCAAAATGTGTTCAGTGCTTGGTAATGGAAAAAAACAAGGTGGGGGGACACCAAGTACTGTTGTCTAGCTATGCAATCAGTTGATCCAAGGACCTCTCGAATGATGCTACAGGTATATAAAGGGTCATGAGTGAATATCTCCTCCTTGCTACGGATTGCCACTTCAACTACGATTGATGAGAATCACAAGTCATGAACAGTTTCCAATGGTTGGTATGGATGTCCACTAAAGTATATGAGGCTGCAAGAAGCTTTGCCTCTACACTACTCTATAAACTCGAATGAAGTGCAAGAACTCAAATTAGAATTTTCTGGTCCTCGTTTGTACTTTTTTTAGGTTTCAGATGAAGGGAAAACTGAAACTACAGCTACACTGGCCTGTTAAAAATGCCAGAACAAAACGTGCAACTTGAACTTGCACAACCTGGCTTTTAACCTCAAGAGAATTGCTTGAAAGATTGCATCAACAGCTATTTGATGAGATGACTAATCTAACCTCGCATAGCCATTATATGACCATGGTAATGAAGGGACATACATACATGGTAATGTTACAACCCACTGTTACAACTCACGATTCAGTAGCGAGTCGGAGCCGTATGAGAAGTGAAGTAATTGAAGTCCGGGTGTTCAACACATAAATCCTTTAGATGCTCATCTGCACAGTGCTGCAACGTCGAAGCCAGCCGCTTTTCAGGATTGGAAGACCAAATCGCGCCTCGGAGCTTGTAGGAAGCAAGTCCAAACGCACGAAGTGGCTTGGCACTCAGAGGGCACCTCGTTGGACTCACAGTATCATAACCGCGACTTCCTAGTCTTAAAGAAACGTCTGCGGTACCAAAAACACGAACGAATCACGCAACAGGGTGTGAAGAGACATCAATAAAATACCCGAAACCTGAAAAAAGAATACAATGGCGAATCGAAAGACCTGAACAGTGTCACTGAAAAGAAATAACGTATACAACACACTAACTATATGCGACGCATCTTGCGACAACGTAATATATAGCAACGAGGCAAAATTTATATTACCTCCATCTTGAAATGGTGTTGACAGTGGATGAAATGTGAGAAAGCAAGCAGCTAAATCCCGTAGAGTGGGCCCAGTAGGTATTCGGTAAATGGGATACCAAGCCACCGAAAGCCAGCTTTTCGAAAGAAGGTCCACACTCCGGAGTGTGCGTAAAGGATCTTTCTCAGGCTTGAAGTCTTTTGACAGGTCAGCAATCTGTCATTACCGGATCCACCAGTATTAATGTCGTAAATTAGCACTCATCCAAAAGTGGCCATCCCCAGGATATTACTTGTCGAAAAACCTGTGGAAACGTCTCAGAACGTCACACACTAGTGAAGAACTGGAAAACAATTTACCTTATCAACAAGAGGCACTCGGCTATATGGGGGACTCTTCTCAAAATAAGACCACACATCTACTTTATCGCCATTGACGAATGTATATGATAGTTCCAGCCTGGAACCTTTTCCTAAGTTCGGTGGCAAGGTTTCGCTCTCTCCATCACTGCTAGCTTCGCTGCAAGTGTCACTTTCTGACCCTGGACGCCTGCACATCAAACATGTTCACATTTTTCATAAATGACCTGAGCTTCATATGTATTCACTGATCTAGAGAGACATAGGGAGATTTGAACACAATCGCGAAAAGTTAATGCTACAGTCGTAAGGATTGTAGGCATTTACAGAAACCAGCAGATACATTCAAAGAAGTCGGCTCAAGAACCAGCATCCTTTCCGCAGTCTAGAATCCAAAATATCCAGGAGAATGTAAACATCTACTTGACATCGAAGTTGCTTGGCGGAAAGCACCTGTATCCGATAGGCCGGTCTGGTCGCCGTGATGGCACATACAGCTGAAGAGCAGAGAGATAAGGCACATAATACTGCACCGCGCTCTCGTCGCCATTCAACATCAAAGGCACCCCACATCCATATGCGCTCCACTCATCGAAAGAGTCCCATAAATCTCGGAGGTTGAAGTAGGGTGTCACTTCGGGATTACACCGTCTCATTGCACTCGGTAAGCGAGACTGCAGACCAAAAAAATACAATGCGTACGAATCAGCACTGCAATCCCAACCATAACGAAGAGACTCCCATCTTGCTCTCTCAACAATTACTACCTTCCAACAAATTCGACTCCTCTAGGACAGAAGTTTAAGACTATTGAGATAAACCAAGAAAACTACCGTTCCGAACAAAGCATCCATGAGTACAGAGTCTTAACACCTCATAACGATCATATGAGAATAAGCGATACATCAAGGTACGCCATGTAATTGACTTATCTTCGAAGCAGGTTTACCAAGGAAGAACCGGACGTCATAATCCAAACTGTGTTGTGGATTTTTCACGTCACTTTTGATCTGCTTCTTCGCGAAGTGACGTGAAAAAATCCACAGCACAAGCGGAGGAACATCGCTTTCCATGATGATTGCATATGTAAATAGACCTCAAGCATGAACCAAGCGACAAAGACACTTGTGCCATCTAGGCCAGTTGAAATTGTATCGGAGAATCACCAACCGAGAAATAACTACCTTGGGAAGAGTTTGAGTCTTCACACGAGGAGAAGTCTCCTCGAGAAAGCGGTCTAAATTTGATTGGGAAGAGGATTGGCCAGATGAGCAGGCCGTGGACGGTATGTTAACTCGTCCAACCACGTCCGGCAAGCCTCCCACTCTGTTATCTGCTCCATTCATGCTTCTCTGGCTATTCCGCTTTCCAGAATCCCCTCCAGCGTAGTACTTCGTCTGGTGCGGCCTTGTTTGCAAATTATATTGATGTGCGCCCCAAGGTAGAGCTTGCCAGCGGGGCTTCTCGATACGATGCCCATCATTTGTCAAACTCTCACTAGTGACCCTCGGCGAGACTGGACCAACCATGGATTCTAACTGCTCTCTTCCGTGTCGTACTTGGCAAGCACTCTCGAGCTTCAGGCGTTTACTTGCACCACACCTGAGCAGTGGCGGCAGTGTTCACCAAGTCCCTTCTCCAGCTCTGATAACTTACTCGAATCCTCTACACGAAATTCCGGGGATCTGCTTTAACTTCGTGAAGTGCACACCGCACTGAATAGCCTGATGAATTCTGCTATCATTCGCAAATGCAACACAGCATAAAAACTCAATGCCTCAGGCAAACATAATTGCCCTCCATAATCCCGAAGAGAATTCGCACTTCTCAGTAGCTTGCGGAAAGCTGCTTAATGCGCGACAAACACTTCTTAAGAACCAATTCGTCGCAGAAAGGTTTGGTTTCCTCTATCACAAAGCCTTAGAAGCACGGTTCGAAGAAAGAACACTCGGACTTTCAGAGAAGCAACCTGCAAGAGTTGAGGAGACTGACTAGCCCCTTGAACTCGGCTCGCTCACTCCAATCGAGCGAGCACTTCCTACACAGGAATCGGAGTCGAATCTCAACAATGGCTGCAGCCCATAGTAAATCACGAATCGGATCCAAATTACTGTGGAAGAGACGCCGCAACGAAATGCAAGCTGCAACCAAGACGAGCAACTCGCTTTCCGCCCACTACATCTACCTACACATCACTTTCCAAACGGTCACCTCAGGGAAGCAATCAACTCCTCTCCTACACGTAACAAACTTCGAACGCAAATGCAACTGCTTCGATCAGCATGTACACAACTCCTCCTCCTCGAGCAATTAACTCTCAAAGTATCCACGACGCCAATCTACCCAGAGTACTTTCGTCCGCATCAATCACCAACGCAACCACGGAAATTCACTCCGCCAAAAGACTCCGGCACCACAATTTCTTCACGGCAACGGCAGCCAACATTCTCAAAAATGCGGCACTGGAGGGCTCAAAGTGTCGACACAAGCTCTAGTTTTCTTCAGAAATGCCAGCAATCTGCAATGTCACCGAGGAGTACAAGAAGGAAAAGACCTTCAAAATGACGATCCCAGGCTATGGAGGCACAATCTCGTGAGGCACACGGGCGGTGACAACGGTGGTGGCTAAGCTCTTTGATGACGCCGCGCGGCAATTTGTCGCAAACCCCACTTTACCATCGGTCGCCAACGGTCACCCGTCTTGCGTCCAAAAGTCGTTATCTCCCCGTCCTTCGGACTTGGACTGAATGTCTGGACTACCGGCGGTCGATCAGATCCGCTCCCGGGGGATCCTCCTGACGGGCAGGCGGGACACGCGAGGCCCGCGTCACGGGCCAGCCGATGCCCCGGCCCCGCACCCGCCCAGCCCGGCCCGCTCTGCAGCCTGCCTCATTCATCCATTCCCACTTCCAATAAAGCATTAAATCACATATATCATCCATATATTATGGATGAATGCAGGAGCTCGCTGTTTCACCAAATCATCAAAGTCTAACAGTGGTAAATAATAATATAATAATAGAAGTGAGAATGAAAAAAATCGAAAAAAAACTATAAAAAATAAAAACAACAGTAAGGATAAATTATTTTAAATTCTGTAAAAGGATAAAGCAGTCTCATCTGTGAAACTTATGGGGTATGGTGATACTATAAATATATTACATGTCACTCTCTATATCATTCAATATTTCATATCAAATAAAATGCATAAAAGATGTAAAATATTGTTGTATGGGTGGAGGGGTGTGTATCTCCCCTTCCCACCTTCCCTATGTACTACGGTGATTTTCACATAAATGTATACATGTGTGTAAATATACATGTCTTTTCTGTATGTATGGATATATATATATATATATATATATGTTTTAGATTGGTGGACAGTGCAGTGTGAGAATAAACGAGAGAAATATATTTTTTAAAAATACAGTGTCCGATGAAAAGCCTTTTAAATTTATTTCCAATGTAGAATTCAACTTGCAAAGACTGTGTTTTGTGCTCTGCTTTTTAGAATGATAATCTCACAGAAATATTTCATTCAAAATTGGATAAATATTTTTTACTTAATTGTAAGAATTTCATAAAATCTACTTGCAAAGAAATGCCTATAATGCTGTGCCAGGAATCTGTACTAGTTTTTGTTGATTCCAACTCCTAGATATTAATTAAAATCAATGAATAATGAACGCTTATCAACTTTTTTCATAATAAGTTGTATTTTTAATTTTTCACGTATTATCAGTTTCTTCTCTTTTCTTTTCTATTCTACATGTTTGAATATTTGACGTTGATTACCAAAAGAAGATATAAAGCAATTTCAATAATATTGATTTTTAGCATGATAGTTAATGAATCTATATATATATATATTAAAAAAAAAAAAAAAAAAAAAAAAAAAACTGCTTGCCATCTTTAAATTTTATATACTATTAGTATTCGTTTAGAAGTTCAAATATACAAGTATGTTATTGCTTGTATCATGAATAAAAGAAGTAGGAATCTAAGTGGTACTGTAATAGATCCAACAAGGAATATTGTTCAATTTTAAATTAAAAAATGTAAGACAATTGCTACTTCCATTATGGAACACTAATTAATATTATTTTTGTAAATAAATTTTGGTAGTTAATTTTTAAAACTTTTAGAATTTTTAGAATAATTGTGGATTTAATTATTCGAAGACTGTTTTCTATGCTTATGAAATATTTTTCTCAAGCACGACTTAATATTAAATAATTAAAATTTTATTATTTTTTAAAATACATAAGTTCAAAAGAAAAAAAATTAAATAATAATAAAAAATTACTTTCAAAGAACAAAATATGGTTCATATTTAGACACATAATTTGAAATTAAGGTTCACTAAAAGTAGTCTTAAAAATACTTTGAGATTTTGTTTTTTCTAAATTAACTATGTATTAATTATTGACAATAGTAATTTTTTTGTAGAGGTATAACATGCATTTTAAAAATCTACCCGAAAATTTAACAATTATTTTACATTTTTCATAAAAATCATATTCTAAGAATTATTAAACTAAAATACGTGTTTTAGGTTGTGTTTAAGAAACATTTATTGTAACTTTTATTTTCGTAACTATTTTGAGATAGGCAATGTAAAAATATTATAGATGCATTTATTTATACAATTTGAAAAATGCTACTTCTATCCAAGATAAATTAGAAGTCAAAATATGTCAATCTAAAAATACGAGAAATGCATACATTTGTCTTGCAAATAAGTTTTTAAAAATATTTTAATATCCAGTTAATTTTTTAAAATAATAAACATATATAGTTTTAGAGAGAAAGAAATTTATTTAAAATATTCAGAAATTGCTATAATTTTTAAATTTTATTTTTTGAAATCAAATCAAATATGGTTGTCTTTAAACCTTGAATTCTAAAAAAACATTATTTTTCACAATTTAAAAACTAACTAAAAATTTTATAAAAAGATATTTAATCAATTTATTATTATATATATTTTTCGTATTTTTCATTGTTTAGATAATGTCTTTAAACAATAACATAGTCTTAAGAACATTAACTTCTACACACTCCTTAAAAGATATTATATATATTTATATATTAAAAAGTGTATTTAAAGAAATAAATTTAAAATAATTGTTGTTTAGCACATGGAGCTTAGTATTTTTGATTTGAAGTTGAAATATCTTATAAGTATTAATCAAACTAATTATTGGTAAGTCATAAATTTAATATTAATATTAGTTATAAAATTCACTTCCATGTTGATTACGACAACCATTTTTATGTAAAAAATAATAAAATAGTATTAACAAGTAATATTTCAAATAATATTAACAAATATTAAAATTTCATTATTAAATCATTGAGTGCAGAAATGAATTAGAACAAATTATTTAGAAATTTTAGATAAATGTCTCAACAATAAGAATTTTCAATGAAGTATAGAATTCTAATTGAAAATTTTGATTTGATTTTGGATGCTTCAAGATCATGTACTAAGTTATCTATTGATATGTTTTAACTTCTACTTTTTATTCTTATCCATTTCATGTTTATGTGCGTATATATATATATATATATATATATATATATGTAATAGAAATAAAAATATATATATATATATATATATATATATAGAGAGAGAGAGAGAGTAGAGAATGAGATGCCTTTCAGTTTTATTTAGAAAAAGAAGATTGAACTAGATCAATTTTAGTTGATTAGAAAAAGTGAACAAACAAAATATATATATATATATATATATACTACATCACTTGGTAACAAATATCATAATACAGACAAAGACCCAATTGACAATGTTATAATCTACTATTAATAACAAGTATGTTTTTAATGCCTGACATGTCACATTAAGAATATGATTGAGAGTTAGGTGATCATGTGTCTAGAGTACTTAAAACAAAAACATATAAATTTGTATTCTTACTTTTAAATAGAATTAACTGGATGTTTTGGTATTGTCATTTTACTTAAGTGTATTTTTCCAAGTCTAATATACATACATTTTTATTAATTTTGATCATGACACTTTGGAAATACTGTGAAATTGATTGTGAATATAGGATGTAATGATATGTGCATGCATATATTAAAATTTTATTGTAATCAAACTGTAATTATTACAAACCATTAAAGTGAATTAATGATTTTTACATTTATTTTCATATATTTATTATTAAAATATTTTTTGGTTAAAATATTAGTAAAATTATTTACTTCTATTTTTATCTAAACATATTATATATTCAAAACCAAAAAAATATTAATTGAATGTAATAAGGGCAAATATCACATATGCCTTTGAACTTCTCAAAATATCAAGCATACTCTTTAAGTTTTGATAATATCACTCATATCTTTTTTGTAAGTTTTGATAATTGCAAATTTGTCTTTTGAGCTAATAACCTATCTATTCTTGTTTTTTATAGTTTCTACCAACATATGCTTTTTTTGTAGCATCCAAAGCATGTACTTTTTTTGTAGTGTTTGAGCCGTATGCAAACTCCTTGTTCTTGCCCCCTCCATGCAATTACACTAGCAAATATTCATTGCTTAGCTCCCTACATCTCCCTTCTCACACCTCCATTCACACATTCACACTCACACATCTTCATTGCATTAATGTAATAAGTTTGTTATGGCCTGTGTGGATTCCTACACAAATCATACACTAGCTTCAACTCACAATAGTTGTAGTAGATCCACATACACCAATGCCACTACAAGTTGAACTAATGATTCACAGAGCCTACGATTATGAAGGTTTAGATTCTACCTACACATCTTGTGCTCTAGTAGGAACTATTTAGCAAAAAATGAGTTATAGGATTGAAGAATCTACTCCACAAGTCAACCAACCAAACTCTTCCAATAACTAAATCTTAAAAGATATTTGTGGTGATGTTGTTGAGAATATTTAGAAAGACACAAGAATAGTAGTAAGTAATACACATATACACACAAAAATAATAGTAAGTAATATACATACATACAAGAGAGTTTCTAAGGAGAGAGATAGAGTTTCACCCAAAAATCTATTGATCTAGTTGTATCACGTATACAAGAGGAGAAGAGGAGAGGATAAACAATTTTTTTCTATTACATTCCAAATAATATAGCTATAGTATTTACTATAGACTACAATAAATATTATGGAGAGCACCAACTACATTTAATGCCCTCAACACTCCTCCTCGCTCATCATAATATTTACATAATATAAAATTTGTATAGAATTATGATCTATATTTTTCCATAATCTTACAAAGTCAATAATTGTTGCCTCATTAAAATCTTATCTAGGAAAACCTTATTGTATTTAAAGGCAAATCATAGATGAAGAAAAAAGAATACAACATCATTTTCTTTAATTATTTAAAAAGTTCATTAACTTTCTTATTCAAGAAAAACAAGTCGTCGCATACCAATGCCATAAGTAAGTTGATGATGGTTGTATAATGGGAGAGCTTTGGTGAAGAGATCAGCAAGGTTATTTACAAATTCAATTTTCTTAATTATAAGTGTTTGATCAATAATCAAGTCATGGATATAACTAAAATACTTTAAATCAATATGCTTTGTCCTATTGCCTTTAATGAAACCAACTTGCATCTGTG